TCACTGCCCCACCAAGGAGCAATGGTGCGTAAGCGCAAGAGTGGAACCCAAAAGCACGGACGTTCCAAGGTCAAAACTCCAATCATTGTCGAGCTGAATGAATCGAATAATGACGCTTCTGATCCTTGGGCTTCGATTGAAAACGGCGATGCTGTGACAGCACGTGAGTTGTTTTGCCCACGGTTTCGAAGATGAGAGCGAGATGATAAGAGAGAGGCTGGCACGAGCAAGTGGGAACTCGTCCGACCACACCCTTTTTGCCTTAGGCAGCATTCATACTTCGCGACGGCAGCGCTTCAGTCGCGGGTCCGATACGGTAGATGCCTTCAGTCGCGCGTTCGACACGGTAGATGCCCATCAACGCGCGACCGAAACGCTGCTGTCGCGAAGTCTGGACGCTGCCTTATGTATGTATAAGCTCGGTTCAGCATGGGGTACAAGTATGGGACATTAATAGTGGTGGGAGGGTAGGTGCTTTCTCCTACACTTTTGCGTTACCATCTTTCCGTAAATATTTAAGTCGCACGAATCACCACTTTTGAACACGAGGTGCTTCATGGAAGTAGGAATTAGCTGTAACGATATCAGTCTTCATAAAAATTTTGTTGAGGCATCGAAAAGGATATTGTTGCAATACCTTTCGATTTTCCCCCATTTCGTATGCTATTTTTTTCAGGCCAAGTTTTCTACAAGAAACCTGTCCCAAAGGAGCCTCAGATCAAACATTACGAAAGGGTAGGTGATGAAGTCCTGTCGCTGCGGATGATGTGGCGCGTCAAGGAGCGCAGCGCCTGCCTGTTTTTTTTTCGGCGAGCAACAAGACAGTGTCATATCGTTCCTATGAGCCGTTTTCCCCAGTTTTTGTCGCACATTTTCTTCAACAACTGATGGAGAAAGGGCACTCTGTGCGCTAACCTCCCCCCCACCCACCTCTTCCCCACTGGCACACCCCTTCATCCGCGCGAAGAAGTCGTTAATCAGTTTGTGCGACTTTGTGCTACCAGTGCTTTGCGTTTTCAGTTCAAAAATAAGAAACAACGCCTAAGCGATGGTTTGAATGCGAAGCGCATAGAAACCCATACTGGGAATAATGGACAGGCGAAAGGAATCAAGAGAAGAAATCGCTCTGAAGATAGCGAAAACAACGGCTATTCACCTGCTCAGAAAATGCCAGTGAAAAAGATAAAAACAGGTGGGTGTTTTTAGAAGCCTCTAAGCCGCTATTGCGAAACCTTGTCTGTTCAGGTGGTGAAAATGGCAACGTCAATATTTTTGCGGATGTTATCAAAAATAAGGGAACAGCCGATTCAGAGAAGAAGAAAGGGGTGAGGGTTTTAAAATCAATTTTTTTTTGGATTTATCACCTCCACTGTTCCAGAAGAAGCGTCGGCTAAGTCACACTCAGGAAGAGGAAGGCGGTCAGAAAGGTAAGTCTTTCCTTTTGCAGTGGATGTGTGATATAACGCAAGATAATATTTTTGCATTTT